ATATATATATGTACAATTAGAAAAACTAATAAAAATATATATCAAAAAATACTTAAAACGTTGATGCGATTAATATTTGTGTATCTATAGTAATATATTATTTCTTCAATATACCGGCCGTTAGTCCGGTTATTGAGATGTTTATCTCGCAAGTGTGAGCGTAAAAAATACAATGGTTTTCCGTTCCCTTTTACCCCAGATGTTCCGGTTTCCCGGACATCGGCGAATTCGTGGCATTATACGCGAACCGAGAGCTCTCCGTTGAGCGATCGACCGTCTCTCGGCCGAAACTGCTGCCAACAAAGAACCACAGTCATGGCGATTACCTGTCCGATGCTATTGTAAAGCGCGACATCCATAACCACGTTCGCCGGTGGTGGTCGGGAGACCGCGCCGATAAAAGTTCAGTCACGCCGTGATTTATTAATTATAAAGCATTGTGATGCGCGACGAAGAGCCCGGTTCGCATACTTGCGGTTTCACGGTGATAAAGCAACACGCGCGCGGCGCTAAGAATTTCCACCTCTCAAAAAAAAATAGACTGCCGCGGCTCTGATCCAACGATAAAACACCTCCGCGATTTATCTTAACACGCCGTTGGTTTTCGAATAATCGCGCCTCAATGTGCGGAACGTATTTCTTTTTTCTTTTCTCATTGCCGATTAGAGCATCAAAACTTGGGGGCCAAAAAAAATCCAATTAAAATAGTTATTAAAGATGCCAGATAGAGAGCGCAGAAAAGACTCGTACGTATATCCTTACGTAATAAGAAAAATATAAGCTACAGGAATCATCCGTATAAGACGATGTTTATTCACGTACGGAATTTAATTTATTGATATCTATTCATCACGGAGGAAGGCTTTTTACTCTCGTCACGAGCAATCAATCGACTCTCGATTTCCTTCGTATCTACAATCACACATATACGGGTGACGGGGCCTTTCGCCGCGCGGAAAATTGAAACCGCGTCGCGCAGCCACCTCGTTCGAGTGAAACTTGGAGAAAAACCGATTCCCCGCGACTCCAATTGACCTCCTTGAGAGAAATCGTTTGCTACGCCGGTAATAACTCAAGCGAACTAGTCATTATGATTTTTCGCAAAAGCGATACGTTGAGCTCCTAGATTGCGCGTTAACATGTGTTACATTTCGCCGAGATTGATCGTTGATTGATCGCTAATTGATTATCGCGCTCTAACGCTCTAACGATAATTTTACACCAGAGTCATTCTACATAATTGAACCGCGCGCTCGAATATTATTCGAAAATGTCCAAGTTAATGTAATAATATACATACAAGAACACAAAAACCACTTGGATATATTATTGGAAAAATATGATTCGCAACTGTTCGCAAGATTTAACGAGCTTATTTAAAATCAACACTGTTGACCGCGCGATTTACCGCACCGAAAAAATTATATTCTTGTAAGTAGAAGATTTTATACTTAAAAAATCTTTTTAAAGATTTTAGATGATAATTCTTCTGAAATTAAGAATATATTCTTTATTTAAGAATATATTCTTTATTTAAGAATATAGTCTTTTTCGATAGTGAGATATATATATGTTTTTCTATAGAGAGATTTTTATATTCTAATCAGTATATATTCT